CTTTATTCGTTTAATAGTTGAGTTCAGTTATATTTAAATTGAAAGGATACGTGTAATGCGGTTGCAATATCGTAATTTTGATTGTTTCGAAGTATATATGAGCATTTATATTTGTTTATTTTTGTTTTGTATGGAGATATTTTCATTTCAATTTCACTTTTGTTAGCGCCTCAAATATGCCGTTGAATGAAAATTGATTTGAAGGTTTTATTTTCCTTTCTCTCTCTCCCTCCTTCTTTTTGTCTACTGTATAATGTAGGTAAGAATGGATAATTTACGGTTCAAATAGAATATCGAGAAATTTTTTTGAAAAAAAATGTTAAATTTTCTCTAAATTTCTGATGGTTGTCATAAAAAAGTTCAAGAGGTCAAGCAAAATGTTCTTTATCTATATGAGGCAAATCGCAGTAAAATTTATTACATTTTTTTTCATATTTTTTGGTAAATTTACAACAATTAGAAATTGCAAATTGACTTTTTTATACATTTGTGATTTTGTTTTAAAAACTGAAACTTTGATTTTTAAAATTGTACAAGATCAAAATTTGGAATGAGTATAAATTTGGAATGTAAGTAGGTATGCGTGAATCATATCTTGTAAAAAAATGATACTTGGTATTTGATCCCATGTCTTGTGCACTACCTTTGTGTAATGTAAAGAATCCTTTCTATTTTACAAATACAAACGATTGAAGTTTCTTCATTGTATTAAAAACGATTCCGGTTTAGTTTTCCGTAGTTTTTATCAAAAACTTTCCAGATTTCTTGATTATTAAATTTTTGATGAAAATATATTGATAGGAAGGAATGAGTATAAGATAGAGATGAGATGATGATGATAATAATACAAGGAACTGATAGGTAGGTATGTGTGTCTGTGTGTATGTATATGTATTGTTGTTATTGGCCGTATTATAATGCAGAGGACATTTTTATGAAAAAGCCGTATGCTTGCCATAATTATCATTCCATCGCTTCTAATCTTGGCATTTATTGGGGAGTTTTTTGCAAGTTGCTGTTTCATTTTTGTCTTTCCAATGAATGTTATTAATTGAACATTGAACTTTAAATGCAAAATCATTCATACCATTTCTTATTTAATTGGGAGAACGTTTCGGATAATAATATGTAGAACACTATTTTTTCTTATCAAAATTTTTTGGAAAATATTCTTGATGCAGTGTGGCATCAAATTGCATATATTAGTGTGTAACCGTTGAGTTTACTCTATAGAAGTCAACAGTTACATCACAATAATATACACCGTTGAATGCCATATGAGAAAACGACGCCCACATTGCTCGATGCTGGGACGATGCGTAAATTTCTTTTTATGGATGTTAGAGTACAGTTGAACTTTTTTGATGGTTAAATTCAATTAATAACTTCAAAAAAAAAAGAACCATACAACTATATGTTTCTTGAACCATTATAGATTCCTAATCTTTATTGTTCAGGTGTTTTATGCAGTTTTAATTCTTATATTATTATGTTCTTGACACTTGCGTCTTTCGTTTTGTAATTCTTTCTCATTAATTAAATTTTGAAATTAGTTGCATTTTCAGAAGTTAACAGTTTTACAGGATAGCATTTTGTGAATGTCTACTGAGGTAAATTGCATAAACGGCGGCAAATTGCATAAATCGGAAATCCATCATCAGCAACAGGAATCTCTAACGGATGGAATGGAAAACAGTGTTGTGCTAGCGACTACACCTTCAGCCGTTAAATCAATTGTAACTGAAGAAACGGATTTTTTGCCGGAAACTACTGGTACCAATAACCATTCGGTTGGAACGCTATGTCCCGCATCTGGTTCTGGTTCTGGTAGAAGTCAAAAATCGAAAAAGCGACAAAATCAGAAAACCTTTAGTCTGATGGATATTTTTGATATGCATAAAGGAATTGGAAGTTGGGCTGATGCTGCTGCTGCTGATGCTCACACAACCTCCTACTCGCCTTCTACGATACAAGTATAAATAATCACTTGATATTATCATAACGTAACATATAATAGAACTGATTTTTATACATGTTGATTTGATTGTCATTTGCAAATATTATGTTTTAGTGATTTTTTGTTCTGCATTTCGCCTATTGTCAATCATTCCAGGAATCTTCCGACACAAAGCAGGTTTCTAATGCACTTCAACAAACAAGTGCATCACAACGAGGTGATTGGAGTCAACATCAGAATACCGGCGGAAATATGCGTCCACCTCCGTTAGGTTTAGATCGAGCAACACATTCCAGAAATATGAATTTGACTAATTTGCCGGATAGGCCACCATTTGAAGTTAAAGTGGCCAATATTAATTACAAGTCCTCTGACAACGATCTCTTTTATTTTTTTGGAGGTGAAAGCAGTGTAAGTCATCAGCAGTTTAAGTTAATATTATGCCAGGTTTTAAAAGCAATGAAAAAAAGGTTGTTCAAATAGTGGATCAAAAAGCCGAGTTGATATGAAAAAAATTTTATCACAATAAACTAAATCGGTTAAGACATGGTTTGACTGACAATATACTGGTTGAGCATTCGATGTGTGGATGGATTTTTCCATCGCTAAGTCAGCAAATTTATTACATGTGAGTAAATTTGCGTTACAGCAATGGTAAATCATGAGTTCGCCGGGTTTCTGCAACAATTCACATGTGCCAGTATTTGGAGATGTGCTATTTTGCGGAACCATTGCTTGTAGGACTTACGGTGATCGAGAGTTGGCTCTATAGCAGATCTTGCTAAATTGCCTTAGTTTGATCACATACAAAATTAATTTAATCATGGTATTACTATTAAAGTTGATGCAACTTTATTGATTCATATTACATTGATAGATGTTTCTTACTGTTTTTTAGCAATTTACAGGTTGTAAATATTCGTTCCGAAGGTCAAGCTGGCAGACGCGGTACTGCGATTGTTTCGTTATCATCTCAAGAAGCGCTTGTGAACGCTTTAAAATTGAATAACATGGTAGATGTTGTTTTTTGCTTCTTTTTTATGAAACAAATTGTTTCTTTGCATTTCTTTTTGAAAATTATCTTTATCCCTATTTTTGATAGCAGCTGTACAAAGTAAATTTGCTTATCATCCCTTTTTTCATCACTTTTTTTTCGACCCACCTAATAGGACACAATTTTTCCTAACTGGTTATTCTAATTCCAGGAATTACAAGGTCGTCCGCTGAGGATATCACTTCGAGATCATCAGTCTCGTCCAGCTTTTGGTAGTGGTAGAATATCTCTTCAAGATCAACCTCGACCACCTTTTGGTAGTGGTAATGTAGGACCCAATAATGCTTATGGAAACTATAGGAACAATGGTAGCTGTCATGAAGAAGGCTATAGCACTTTGCCTCATTCCCGCCGAGGACCTCCGCCGGTACCTTATCATGCCTATAACACAGATGGCCGTGCTAACCGATTACATCTTCAACACTGCTCTTCACATCGCGGTCGAGGTTTTTCTTTTTTGAAAAATAACAATCCAAGTAGTTTGTGGTTGAAATTTATATAAATAGAATAAAATTGTTTTCATGGATATATGCGATCTTTTTTTACCGCAAAATGCTAATTTTTCTGTAGATGATGATCGATATTTGCTTTAGATAATCGAAAATACGACTATGACAATCGACTGTTTCGTCATTCAAAGTCTGGAAACAACCAGTTTCCTCCTCGTTTTATGGTTTGCTTACAATCTTTTTACATAGCTTTTTGTTGAATGTTCACATCCTCTTAATTAAAGATTGGAAATTTTAGAATCGTGGTTATAATTCATACGGCGTTGCTCCCAGGCCATCACCACCCGTTGAAAATTATTTATTTAGTCATGGTGTGGAAATGGAACATGATGCAGATAAAAGGTAGATTGCATTATTTAAAATCTATGATAACATCTTTTAACACCGTACGAGGTCTTATACAGATGTAGTTGGTCAATGAAATAAAGATAAAAGATCAGTAAACTGATTAAATTAAAAGTAATCGTTTCAGAGGTCCTGGACGTATTCGAACGGAAAGTGTACGAAGTAGTACTACAGATGGTACCGAAAAGCATGAAAGACGTAAGCTGCAACTACAACCTCGGACCAAACCTCTTAATAGTACTGAAGAAGATTTGCCTGCCAGACCAACTAGTATTTTTGGTCTTGCGAAACCCGTAGATACTTATGAAAAAGAAAAGCAGGTGAATAGTTTTTCAGCTTTTAGTAACTGAATTCCAGAAATTGGTTTATGAGGGAAATCGAACTTGTTGCTCCTTACATCTTTTATCCATATTCTTTCAGGTAGAAGAACGATTGCGATTAGAGAACGAAGCATTCAAAGCAGCCGAACAACGGTCGAGAAAGGTTAGCGACGTAAAAACCAATCTTATTCTCATAGTTTTTGATTAGTTTGTTCAAAAATCAGAAGAATTCTACTGTCGAATATTTTGGTTTCATGTTAATGAAAAATGTTAGGTTTCGTGTCTTTTAGAGCAGCGAACGTGCTGTTTCCGTTCCCGCATCTCCCTCGCTGCTTCATGGTGAGGTTTCCATATTAACTGAATCTTCGTTACATTATTATCGTGAAAATTATCCACCACCAGTCCAGGAAGCTGTTCCGGAAGAAAATTATAAATCAGTGGAAAGTGTTGAGAAGCTGACGACAACTTCACTCATCCCTCAGTTGCCTACTAATAAAGAGTGCGGAGTGGAACAGGCAGAAACGCCATCTCTTGTGACTGCATCAGCATCAGCTCCACAACTTCCACCTTCATCTCCCGAACCATCTATTTCAACAATTCGCCGCGAATCGCTTTCAAATGTAAGTCGTATTGATTTCTTATCAGGTTTGATATATCGTTTCAATTTAACGCTTATATTGTAAAATTCGAATATTTAAGTGGTTGGCAGTGGGTGATAATGATGTTCAAAATCTCTGAAAATTCGCAATTTTAAACGAAAAGTTACCATTGTTTTGTATTGTACACTCTTGTAATATCGCTAGAGCATATTTAAAAGCAACCATTTTAATGATTCTGGTTATACTTATATTTTTGAACCGTAATATAAATTTCTGGAAATTTTTTTAGACTGAAATCTAATTTTATGTTTTTTAGTGTCCTGAAATGTCTGAGATGCGTGCATCTACAACATTGCTTCGAACACGGAACACTTATAATAGAACATTTACTCGCTCTCGTGATTCTGTTCGTACGCAATTTCCACCGAACAAAGTACATAATATTCCAGGTTAATTTTTTATTATAAACCATAAAGACGTCTTATATTATTCTTGTTGCTTACTCTATGACAGTATGACAAAAGCTTGGATTTTTCCAAAATATGCCTGACTGTTCTGGGAGCAATTAATTGTAATTAGAAAGACTTAGATATTATATAATTTAGAACTGTGCCAACCGAAGTTCAGTTTGAACCTTTTTAGTGCGTCGAGGAAAAAGTGGTTCACGTCGCGGTGGTGCTAATAGTGGAAGTTTAGGATCGAACAAAGACAAGCATATTGTACCTAGCAGAGAAAAAGTTGATGGCCTTAGTGGTAGTTCAACTGTAGAGCCTGTTGTACCTAATGGACCGAAACAACTTGAAAATGGACCAAAACCGGACCAACAGTCGATACGGAAGGATGAAAAGCATGAATTCGTAATGACATCAAACAAGATAGCGACAACAGCTGAACAACCATGGCAACAGCACTCCGATCAGCAATATTCTAAAAGAGAGAAGAAAAAACAGGTCTCCTCCAGATTTGTATATATCAGCAAAAAATTCTGGAGTGAGCGGAATTTATTAAATCCTTAGGTACACACACTCAAACTTTCTATAGTTGCAAGCTTTTTTTGAATAAGGTTAAAGTTATAAGTGTTTTTCCATTTTATAGACTGGAAACTTTCGAAACATCGAAAATTTTATTCTCATGAAGTCGGATAATTTAGATGAGTCATCAATTGATTCGTAGCATTGATTTTTTGAGAAGCGACTAATAATTATAATGTTAGCAGGAAAATGATTGTTATAGATACCAGCAACGAAAGAAATGCCAAAGTGTATTATTGAACCGAAGCCGTTTACATTTTCATCAGAAAACAAGTATGCGGCACTTCTGGAAGCAGATGATTGAAAATTTTTGATGGCATTCTCTAATTCTTCAAGAATATTTAATTTTTTGTGCTTAAAATGAGTAAAAATTTGATGAAATTGGAAAATAGGAGATTTGAAAAGGATTTATTCTTTAAGTTCTTTGAGAAAATGTTGAGATTTTGGGAATTTAATAAATTGAAGAATTAGACAAGTGGCAGAATGAACCTTGGTAATTGAAAGTTCGATAAAATGTCTTCAACGTCATTCAAATTATATAGATTTACTTAGAGGTTTTTTCTCTGTACATTGATTTATGTCATGTCAATTTTGTTTGTATATCGAAATACTATGTACTTGTTTGTGTTTGTTTTTCCGTTTTTAAACATTCTGAGAAATAAGCGAAATGATCCATAGTTGGTGGAAGTTATCCTCAGGATTACTTCGGAATATTGCACAAATACAAGGGAACATAATTTATTCTAGAATGATAATAATTCAGGTCAAAGAATCGCATCATTCTTTGTTAATATTCCACCAGTTGTTTATGAGGTACCAAAAAACTCTTATCGTCATTTTGCGGTATCTTACAACGGTAAAAAATTATGAAACTGTTGTTTGTTTAACGATGAGTGGATAGCGATATATATTTAGCAGGCCTGTTTGGTTATCTTTTGTTTTTCATCCTTGTTTGGTTTCGATATTCAGAACATTTGTTTCATCAGCTTAATTTGATTTTTTTTTGATAAAATTTGTAAATTTTTGGATTGTTTTACTACAATTTTTCCTGTGATTCATTTGGATAAAATATTTTCACATCTCATGTCTTTTTTTCTCTCCCTCTACGTATACATATATATACATATCGGTGGTTTAGATCTTTTTACTTTTGTTCGGGATCGGTAGATCTATATATATATATGTTGGTTTATCAGTGTATTCTTTTCTGGATACAATTTTAGATCTCTTCCAATTTAAGACGGGATATTACTTTCTTCGTCTCGAAACAGTGGTTTTTCTTTTTTTGGTGATGACTAAAGCTATTGGTAGAGATTGCTTTATAAGGTTGGAAGTTATAAATTGATACTTTTTATATGGAAAAAATGAAACATCTTACTAAAATTGTTGTATGTGTTTATGAGATTTAATAGATGGACAAGGTAATTATTTTATGGAGAGTTCTGCATTATAAAATAAGAGTCATTCATTTCCATTTAGATTTAATATCCGTTTCTTTTTTTTCCTTTGCTTTCACCATTTTTGTTTTAATTTATCTGTATGTGATTAATGAATTTGTATTTTCTAGGAAAATCCTTTTTTTGCATGAAGTGATTGATTATATTGATAAATTTACAGCTAATCATTTGCTATATGTCAGCAGTAAAGCATATAGGAATGCGAAAACCATTATATGTCATACTTGTCAGTATTCATTTTTGCTTGAAATAGGAATGGAAAAGTGGAAGAGGAATGTATATTTGCTGTTGAAGCGTTTCCATTTGATAATCATTATTGTTTCTCGACGGACAAATTATTTGAATTAATTTTCATCAAATCATCAATATTCGTTATACCTATAAAATATCTCAATTTAGTTGGAATTTCCGGCGAAATGTCATGAATTTAATAAAAGCAGTAACTTGCTGTTTTACGGAAGCATTTAAATCTACATCTGAACGGAAAACCATCTAACTTTATATTTAAACTTATTAAATTAAATAGTAATTTTAAGTTTGAAAATACTGAATTATTGTTACGAGAAGTATGAAAACTGAAACAGCTTTTTAGTATTTTTCATAGTTTCATAATACTTTTGTTGTACCTACCATTAAGTAACGTCAAATCATTTGCAATACGTTTAATCAGTTGTTCACGTCGAACATAATTGTCAGTATTTGCATTTATCGTTTTTTTACGTTCATCAAGCTGTAATAATATGTAAAAAATATATTTTTTTTGCAGAACAAGGCCAAAGGTAATTTTAGAAAATTATTCTATTTTGGAATAATTTCATAATGCAATCATTATTGACGAGATAAATTGTGTGTATGCAATTATTGTTCACAATTGATTTAATAAAGTATAAGTGTGAGTTTGTGAATAAAGTTAACTTCTTCTACAAAATAACTGTTAAATTTTGTGATGTTATCCAATTGATTGCAGTTTACAGTCTTTTCTAATTTCCGTTGTAAATTAGTGGAATAATTGCTCTCAATTAACATATCTAATAGTTAGCCAAATAGAAATTTAATTCTTTTTAAACTATATAATCAGTAGTGGTAAATTTTTGGATTAATGTAAATTTAATTTAACTATTTTATGTCGAAATTTAACCAACCAACCTTATTTTTAATAATTGAATGATCGATTCTACGAGGTACAGTACCACCTGACATACGTTCTGCTATAACTTCAATGTATCGCACACGTTTTGCTAGTGGTATCCATTTCCAGGTGCACAATATTCGATGGATTTGCTTCTCACGAGTAATTCGTCGAAACTGGAAATAATTTGGAAAGGTTTCGATATGGAAACAATGATTTAGATAAATTTCGATCTGCAACTAAAAAAAGTAATGTGTTAGATTTTTTTTTTTTAGTTCAGGTCATTTCTGTTCTGGTATTTCCTTATCAAATAACTAGTTCAAAAAAAAAGGAATGAAAAAGAATTAATTCCCTGACAAATTGTTGAATAATTGTAGCAGCATGATTTTTCATTTCTTCATGGTGTTTTTGAAGCATTGCATCCATTCCTGACCGTTGTACTTCACTTGGCTTCAAGCGTTGTTGTAGCAAATAAGCACTAACGCTTGAAGCATTCATTCGTGCGATCGTTTCGTACTTCATCATTTCATATGCTTTGCTCTGTCGAACCTCATCCAATTTACGCAATATTTCTTCACTTGATTTCAATAGCTCGTCGTGTTTCTTCGTAGGTTTACTGTAATTTTAAAATTGATTCAAATTTAAGCAATCCTTTTCGGTTGGTTTTTTTTGAGTTTTAAAATCCTAATTCAAAAATAGACTTGTTAATTGTTTCTTTGTTTAATCTCGATGTGCTTTTTGGGATTGCTGGAGATTAAATAACGGTGAGTATTAATAATTGGAATAACAATAATTTACACATCTTAAAAATTGGAGAAATGTTACTGACGGGCTCGAAATCCTTGAATTTTTGTCCAGTTGTGTTTCATTGACTGAGTTATCCATTTTGGCCGATTCAGATTCTTGATACTTGCAGTACATATGGATGGACCTAAGCATAATGGGTTATTAGATTTTCATTGAACTTAATCTGCATATTAGCTAGACTAAAGATGGATTCTTGCTTAGGGTACAGATGATAAAACCATATGGATAAAGAGAAAAACCAACAACTTTGAAACATTTATGATTTTTGAATTAGAATTTTGTTAAGTAATTTTAATCATTGGAACGAAAATTGATAGAAATGATGACAAGTTCATTTAAAGATGGATCAGTAATTACCTAGCAACGAAACATGCAACTGCTACAATCTTGTATTAGTCTATTTTGCACATCGCACACATCGAATGTCTTTAAATGATCGATTTTATTCTTCATGCTGGCTTTCAGATGTGACAAATCGATACAAGTTATATTCAATAGACAAACATTGGATGTAGATCTCTTAGTAATCGTTTTTATCGAAACTATGGAACAAACTAATCGAAGCAATACTCAATTCTTAAGGAAGTTCGTTATGCTTTTTTTCCCCAACACTATTATCTATTGTGTCTTAATCGATTGAAACTTTATAATGTCATTAAAATGATTAAAAAAAATTTTTTATAAAATTAAAACACCGACAGAACTGCTGAATTAATATTGCTACAAAGTAGTCACTTGATATCGGAATAAAAAATGAATAACTTTTTTTTGTAAACTGCGCTCTTTTTTAAAGTAAAGAGAGAACCTTATTATTTGTCATATTTCTGGCAAATTTTAATTGAGAACTTAGAAAAGGATTTACTTGCAGGAAAGTGAAAAATCTTGAATTCGATGCCCATAGTTACAGTCCAGCGGTTATTATTAAATATGAACTTGCATCAGCGGTGCATGATTTAGAAGATGCATCACTCACTTCACCATCAAAATATTGCAAAAAAATGTTTGTTGATGCAACTTTTGTTTAATTAACTGTTTTATTTTAGCAACTGTAAATTCCTTGGATTCTTTTGCTGAATTGTTATTCTGGACAAGCTTATAAAATTTTGAGTAATAAGTTTGTTTACAGCATTCATCTGAAACATTTTAATGAACGAGTGGATACATCGGCTCTTGCTCAACATATTCTTCTAGTGTGTCCTATAATACCGGAATGCAGAATTAATGAATTAAAACAAATATTGTATTACTTACAAGAGCGACACAGTTCAGGCAGTGGAAGTAGTTTTTGCAATTTTTATGGGAATTTTCTTTGTCACTTCTTCAATTCAGCTGTAAATAATTAGTAATCGATAATTAAAATCTGATAATTGATGGTTCTAGGTGATGTAAATTTATCGGTAAAAGATATAGATGTTGCATCGACATCACGAGCAAATATGAGTTACATAGAGGTAATTATTTTGTTATTTACCGTAAATTCACAATTTACATTTTTTTTAAAAACATTACTTGATGGGCGTATACAAATTTTCAAGTGAAAAACAAATCGGAATTGAAAGATTTTCTCAGAAGATAAGTAAATAATAGTTGGTGGTGAACTTTATGAAAGAAGTAAACTCGATCAATACATATTATCTGTAATTTTCTTGCTTAATTGCTTAATTCGGTTAACTTAGTTTTGATCTTCATAAATAATTTTGCCAGAAACTTTTTCCTCTTACTTCTCCTATCCATATGCTTCCGTCATTATAAGCATGGATTCCATCTGTTGTGTTGCTGGCCAATGATTAAAAATTTTCAGGATTATATTGAAATGCTTTATGATGAAATTTCGGAGAAGACAAAAGCAACAGCTTTGTTCTTGGAGCTTAGTCAGAATCACAGAAACTTACAGCAACTCATTGAGAACGGTAATGTCGCTGCAAATCCTTCTATTTCTTTTATTTGTACATTTCGTTTATAACTTTAAATGTTTGGTTGACGTATTTGATATACGTTATTTCAGAGGTATTGATGAGTGCACTCGTACGTGTATTACGAGATGATTGGAAAAAAAGTTTTGAACTTGCTACTAATATTATTACAACGCTTTATAATTTTTCCACTTACACCAACTTTCATCAGTTTCTCGCCCATCACAAAGTTTGCTCTATTGATTTTTGTTGTATATTCAGAGACATATTACACTCATAAAAGGATTTAACTTTTTCGAATGATATAAAACATTATGTATATTTTAAACAAAGTCTGCCAGATTTACAATTATAGATTTGTTGCGAGTACTTTCCGAGTTTTAGATAGGTTCTCTATCAATGCAAATTGTTGATTATGGATTGAAACGTTGGGAAGCATGGAAAGAAGAAGCACGTCACAGTGATGAATGTACCACACGTCGTCTTAATCTTGCAATTCGCAAACAACAACAATTAATTGCTGGTCATTTTTTGAATTTTCCTGAAAGATAAAAAGTTGTTGTACATATTTCTATAAAAATTTGTTGTAGAAAAGAATAAAATCTTTACCTTATTAAGAGATAAAATATTGAGAATTGTAAAAAATGTTACGACATTATTTTTACAGCTTGTTTAAACTTGTTGCTGAATTTGGCTGAAGATATTAAAGTTGAGATGAAAATGGTAAACCGACGGATAATTTCACTGCTATCGAAATGTATAGAGGACCATGATGCCGTTTTACCGTTGCTTTTATGTGCCATCAATTTTTTGCTTAAATTAAGCATTTATAGTGAAAATAAGGAAGCTATGGTATGTATTAATCAAGTTTAAGCATATGTTTAAAAATAACTGACTTCCAATACCATGCCAAAACTTGACTGCCCTGAATTCTTTATAATACAATGGTTTTCTCTTTTTTCGTATTTTCGGCTTTCTTACAGCTATTTTTTTAATTTCTTTTTTTTTTCAATAAAAGTTGCAGATAAATGGTCGTGTCGTAGAAAGTATATCCTTGTTATTTCCAATAAAAAATGGAACTCTACGACACAGCGCTATTCAATTACTGTTCAATTTGTCATTTATACCATCTCTTCGTGATCAAATGGTTTCTGCTGGCTTCATTTCTCACATAGCACCGCTAATTGAGGGTAATTTTCGTTAAAATTGAATCACCAACTGAAAGTTTCTACTTCGGATTGCATTTAATTGTAGCATTTTTCTTCAAATATTAGCGTTGGAGATGTATATTGAATCTTTTTCTTCAAATATTAGCGTTGGAGATGTATATTGAATGGTTAAGCATTCAGCAGTGAAGTAGCTATCGAAGTAATTACTTTATACTAACGAATAAAGGAATGAATTATTAGAAACTTTTAAATTTCACTCTAATTATTTTGCTTTTTCCGGAGACGAAAGCGCTTTGAAATTTCTCTATCAATTAAGCATCAATGATGATGCCAAAGCAATGATTACTTATACTGACGCTTTACAAAATGTGAGTTATTTTAGATAATTCTATGGTACTGAAAATATTTTAGTAATTAGTTATGTAAAATAGTAGAATTCATTACGATGAAATTAGTTAAGTAAAATAGTAGAATTCAATACGATGAAATTGTTGGAGGAAAAACAAGTTCAGTCTTGGTAGTTTGTCCAAGTCGAAATCGCAGGAAGAATGATTCTGAGTTGAACTGAGTATTTTTTACTTGAGTGCTTGAATTTCTACGACACTGAATCCAGAATAACGCTGTATAAAGAAAACAAGTGTAATTAACAATCATATGTTCCATTTAATTTACCAAGCATTATATTTTCAATAATTAAAGTCGCTATGTTTTATTACTTTCTTTCTGTATTTCAGCTAATGCGCATACTGCTTACTAATAAAAGTTCGGATATAGTGAAAGCAATTTTGATCAATATAGCACTGGAAAAGCGTAATGCTCAACTACTTTGTGGCACCGATGGTGAAGGACTTAATTTGTTAATCGAAGCGGCTTTAAACCAAAAAGATCAATTATTACTGAAAATAGTGCGAAATATCGCTATTCATAGCGGTCCTACACAAGCAATGTTTTCGGTAAATAAAAATTTGCTGGTTATTATTGAGTAATTTATTTAAGCCGCATGCGAAAGGAATATTGTTATGTTAAGGAGAAAATTGAGTTCTCAGGAAAGTTGGAATTTTCCAGTCTTTTTAGCTTTTTTTAGTAAACAAAGCCTTTTTGTCTTTCTTTCAGTAATCGAAAGAAATCCTGAAATGAAATAGTTCAAAAAAAATCTTATAACAACTGTCTCCATTGTTTAATCATTTGCAGAAATGGGCTATTCCTTTGCTCGACATTGTGGTGGATAAAAAGGGTAAGAAAGAACTTGATTTGTTTGCCTTGGAATGTTTGGGTATTGTCAATCAGTTGACTAGCGTTGATTGGGCATCATTAGCTGAGCAAGTTTCACTTATTCCATGGATTGAGGATAATCTGAAAGGACAAATAATGATTCAATCACGTGCGGATCAGCTGTTGCAGGTTGGATGGATATTTGCCAATGGAAATTTCTGTCATAAGAAAGAGAATGATAAAAGAAATATATAATTCATTAGAAATACAAAAAGGTAGAAGTTTTGAATCAAAATTAGTTATTCTTATTCTAGGTGATTATTCTGTGCGGAACAATGGCTCGACAATTAAATGCGGCTCGTTTAATAGTGCCACTTATAGATCAACTGGTAGAATTGTTGACAGGTACTAACTTTTCTATCACAACAAATAATTATTGCTTCAAGACAGTTCGTTCTTTAATGACAACAATTTAAATATAATATTCACTAATCACGTTTTCGCTATTTTATAAAAAGATTTTGAAAAAATTACAGTTTTAAAGGAATCATATTTATGAATTTTTTTAAATATAATATCTATTTCAACAGGATTTTTCGATTTTAGCCCAACAAGAAGACGATGAAATGGTCATACAAGTGGTATACGTCTTTTATGCTATAATAACACATGAAGAACTCAGTGAAAGTGTTATGGGTGGAAGTGCACACGTTGGTGCTTATCTGATCGATTTAATGCATGACAAAAATGTACCTATCCGTGCAATATGTGATCGGGCACTTTCCATTATTGCTGTAAGTTTTCATATGTTAAAGAACTGAAATAAGTAATACAGAACAATTCTATTGAATCATATTTAAATGATGTAATATAATTTGACGGATTATAGAAGTATTGTAACTCTAATTTTTATTGTTCATCGATCAGGAACGTAGTGAAGAATGGGCTCGAAAAATGGATGTCGAGCGCTTTCGATGGCATAATTTACAATGGCTAGAAATGGTTGCTGATAGCAATAACGTGACGTCCAATGATTCGGTGATTTCCGGTTCACCGGATATTTACGACCAAGTGTTTGGTGTCGAAGATATTCTTGGTGATGCATCACAGGATATTCCTCTTACGCATGAAAATAATGACTTTTAAAATTTTCGAAATTTTGAAAGTCATTGTTTAGAGAGTTTTTTGTAATTTTTATAAGTTTTTATGCTACTGCAGATGTATAAAATTATGATTGTTGTCATTTTGTCAGTGATCATGGAATTTTTATCAATGTATGATCTCATTTTAGCAGTTTACTAGTCATAAATGTCACCATTACCTCACATACATATTTTCTATATTTTTATTTACAGTTAAATGTAATTCCATGTTTTTTGGAAATTTAGAAAGGATTAAAAAGAGATCAAATCAGAATTTGAGGTATTCTTCAATTTTCATTCCCTCTCTTCTTTCAGTCTTTCTACTGTCATATTCATTTCGTTTAATATTCATAATTTTATGACAAAATGCATAAAAATATGATTTCACACAAATTAGTTGCATTATTGAGATTGCAGTAAAAATGCTTGCCAAATATCATGAATGGATTCGATGCGAAAATAAGTGGAAACAAATGATAAATGCAGAAGTTATTTCCAGTGATCACTGGTCATTACCCTCCTTTAGGCATTTGACGTTTTGTTTTTTATAAGAAAATGAGCTTTATAAGAGAATGAGCGGAAAATTTAGAGGAGAAATTTAATTTTGAAGATATTTATCAAAAAATATTGAAGTTGAATGCGTGAGTTAAAAGGGAATCAGCAAAAATCAGAAACTTTTATATTTTTCATGACATTGTATACACTGAATGTTTATAAATTAGGAAAACGCAATTGTCCGGTTTTAATTTATTGTATTCCCAAATTTTAAAATTAAGATTTTGAAT